AAACTTCCTTATAAATATATAAGGGTAAAACTTCGTTTGCCCCCCCCCCATTTCCCAACCCTCTCCCCATAAATAATGACCACTCCCTAATACAAAGATCGTAAGAATGGTATCTAGAGTGTGGTGATTTTTTACACCATTTACAGTGGTGATGTCAGGGCTTAAAAAATCCGCAGCCTTCTACCAGATTTCGACTGACGTCAACTTTAATAATACTTAATTTCCAATTGACATACACATATTTACAAGAAAAAATCCAATTATTTTTAGCACGTTTATTGTTTTCCAGGGATATGTATAGTGCCAGATATTTGTCAGCACGTGATACATTAACATATAAAATACCATACTGTCATACTGACAGGTTAACATATAAAACACCAGAAAATCAGGGGTGGTACTTGCCCCATTTTATTGGGTAGGTAAGTGAAATATTGCAAGTCATTTTGTAGTTTTGCCGACTCGTTAAATTAACCAAGTAAACATGCATGCGTATCCTTCAAATAGAACAACATCAACAACAACCCAATTATATAATGAATTTATGTTGCCGGCCAGTTGGGCAATATTTGCTTCACAATTGGGCAATATTGGCTTATTATAAATATAAATAGGAGAAATACTCTCAATATTGGGGAAAAAATATAAAAGTTATAATAAATTATATATAATACATCCCCCCCCCCCCCACCAGTTTGTCTGGAAAATTTTTTTGACAAGTCGGGCAAAATGGAAAAAAGTCAGGCAAATTTCTTTTCATCCCACCCCTAATTTTTTCCTTCCATATACGACATTGAGTATATATAGAACTGTATAAATATGGTTAAAGTACAAATATTTTGGTTCGTTCCTATCCAATTCATGTTTTGCTGACTGGGAGACAGTTTGCCGACTGACTGACGAGTGTTTTATCCCCTACACCCCCTTCTCTTGTCAGAAATAAACAAGTACACCAGATTGCAGAGTAGGGCATTTGCCCCCCCCCCCGAGATTTGTTAGGTCACAAATTTTAGCGCCGGCCCCCGAAATATATTATGCAACAATTTTCCATGCGCTATCCGCGCATTGATATGGGTAACATTCTTGCGGTAGGAATCTTAAAAAAGCGTGTATATTATCCTGCGTATATTATTAATATTAACACATGCAGTTCTTGAATATAGTCTTCAATGCCAAAGGTTGTCTATTAAAAGGCAGAAGTTAACAGAACTTGATGGTGTAAATGGTATATTGGTGTTCATAGCATAACTTATCTAGTTATTTACAACTATTTCTGTGTGACGGCAGTGAGTTTCACCGAATACAAATTCGTAACTAAAAATTCTAAAATGTCAGGTTTACCCTATTTCCCCAACCCAAAGAAATAACACAACAATTTCAACGTTTCTAATAAGCTTGCTGGCTGCTGCACCCGACTAGGAGAATGCTCGCCGCCCACCTTAACTTTATTTCCTTTTTTTCTCCTATTTAATACAACACATCCCTGTGTGATGTTCACGGCTATCTAATCGCCAAACGTTACGAATACTACTAAGTGAGCCTGCTGCCCGCCAGGAAAAAACCCTGTGGGGAAACCTGGACCCTCCCAAATGCAGATTCAGGCTCTAAATAACAATCTCGAGGGTGTAAGATTGACCAACGTACAAGCATTAGCTAACAACATTAAACTCTAAATAATCTGTTTACGACCTATGTAAGCATTCCCAAGAACCTAAACCTTTGGTAAATTTTGCTGGTGAAATACTGCTTGTAAAAACATTTGTGTGTGTTGATGCAGTGCCAGACTAGAATGAGCTTCCCAAATCATGTGACCACTTTGGCGCCCTGCCAATGAACATGGCGGTCACGTGTTTGATGAACCGTGGAAACATCAATTTTCTGCTATTCTGCGAACCGCAGAAAATAACATGTTTACCCTATTTCCCCAACCCAAAGAAATAACACAACAATTTTAACGTTTCTAATAAGGTAGCTGGCTGCTGCACCCGACTAGACTTGGATAAAGTTAGAAAGGGTCAGAGCATAGAAATTCAAACCCCTAGTGCCTTGGAAACCTGTAGGCAATTGTCGAGTGAATCTTCTACGTAACCGTCCTTGGCTGTATCAGACTTCCAGCTGCCATGTCGTTTCCAACAGCGGTCGGACACTTGGGGATTGGCTGCTTTGGTAGCCCCCCTGATCGGAATGAGTGCAAGGAAATGTTGGCGTCTCCCATGAACTCCTGCAGTCTACCGATGATAGATTCCCGTGCTCTAGTTTGACTAAGGGGTTTGTTTCGGTCGATTAGCTTGTACCCTGCTTTGGCATGGGTTACCGGCCTGAATAAAAAAATTGCACTGTGATCTAAACTGATGGAAGCAACTGGCATGTACTTTTCAAGATTAAGTACTGGGCAGGTAATTTTGTTCGACCTATGAATGACCAGTTCATTGCCTTTCCTGTATTGGTCTGTTTTGCTTTTTCTTATTGTTAGTTGCAAATGAGTGTCGCAACTGACCACATCTTGAATTTTGAGGTCTGTAATCTCGTTGTACCTAAGAAACCCAGCGAACAATAGCAATGCCATAGAGATGTCTCTACGCACAGTGAGTGTGTCTCAACCCTGATACTTTGTACAACACTCCTCTAGGGCCTCACTGGTAACAGGAGCCTTTTTGGAAACTGGTTTGGCATGCTCTCTTTTGGCACCCTCCACCAAATTCTGAAGAAATTTGTTTTCCATGGGGTTATGTATACCTGCAATATCATGAACCCATTTAAGGGCACATGCAATAACTAGATTGAATAACTGAGGAAGATTTGTAAGTAGAGGATAAATGCGATATGAACAGCGAAACATCTATAACCGATGCCGGAAAAACATTGAAACTTTTAACTCTAGCGAATTCTATCCATCTACGTAAACTATTTGTATAGTTTGTGACAGTTCCCTCTGCTTTAGCATGAAGTGCTGTTTTCTTAAGTAACTCAAACAGGTGTGTTTCTCCACTGGATAACGTCTTTTGCTGTAATTCTTTCCAAAACCCCTGGTCAAACAAGTTTAAGCCTGTGAAAACAAAGAAAGCATATAGGTATACTAAAATAGCATAAATTGGGACTCGCGAGTGCCAATATCTAACAGGCCCGACCCATTCCTACACAAAGATATTGCCAATGCTTAAAGAAAACCCGATGTCAAGAACGGGGGACTGAGCCATTAACGAATTCACTTTCTTTCTGGAAATATCCACCGGTGCGAATCCCCTGAAATTATTCTGTAATCCCCTGAGATTACTACCACCTGTGGGAAAATAGTCACCTGTGGACTGTAAAAACTTAAGGCTTGATATGACAACCACCTGTGGAAGAATCCATCCCCAGAAGTCTATGCTGAGCTATATGCATTCTGTACACATACCGGAAGGAGTCATACAGAAACCTCTGTTTGATGTCCTTTTCTTGCATGTTTGCCAATCAATATAGAGTGCAATTAATTTAAAGGGCAGTATATCACTATTGAAAACGGTGTTATGGAATCTGCCAGGTACTGTGGCTGGGTGGTTCCACTCTGGGATGCCGGCCCAAGTTGTCACACACTGAGCTAAATGAGTGCCGTCTGGGCATATGCTTGGCCAGAAAGTTGACCCTCTCCATAGAGGTACTATTAAAACTCCCCGTGCTCTGCAAATCTGGAAATGTTTCCATGCCTTGATAATCTGATTAGGTGGGGGAACTACCCAGTTGTTTTCCCCTGCCCAACTTATCATATAAGTATCGACCCCTTCACATTCTTAAATCCAGCACACTTGGTGTTATAACAGGTAGCAAACCTGTCTACCGTGAATGGCCCCCACATGGAAGTGATCCAATTAAAAATATGTGGGTGGATGCCCCAATCGTTGCCATCAGACAGTTTGCTGAGATAATCTGCTAATTGGTTTTCCTCCCTTGGGACCCAAATTGGGCTGACCTGAATACCAAATCCACTACTTGACTCTATCACTGCTTCCACTAAACTCTGCAATTCTTGTTTTCTACCGCCCCTAGCTAGAACGTGCATGATATTTTGATTGTCAGTGTACTATTGAGCCAGGTGATTACATAAGTTCTTTCCTATTGTTAACAGCATGTTATGTACTGCCTTAAGTTCCTGCCAAGTGGAACTCTTCCCTCTCTCGCTTTCCAACCAGTGTCCCTGACAGACCAGTGTCTGATGGTTGGAAATCGCATAGCCACCATACCCTTGGTCTGAGGCATCTGAGTACACCATGGTGTCAAAATGCTGTGGTTCTCTGAACATGTCCATACCATTAAGGGTGCGGATGTTACCCAATACTGTAATTCTGTTGTGAGTTTAGAATTGAATGACAAAATGGATCCCCAATGTTCCCTAGTCTCTATAGCGAAATACATATGGCGTGTATACAGGTAAACTTTTGGGCCTATGGAATCCGTGGGTCATTTTGGACAACTGTTTTCCGTGAAAATGGAAAATGGATTTTAAAATATTTTATTAGAAAACCGTTTTCCTTGAAAATGGAAAACGGATTTTAAAACATTTTACTATTAGAAAACCGTTTTCCGTGAAAATGGAAAACGGATTTTAAAACATTTTACTATTAGAAAACCGTTTTCCGTGAAAATGGAAAACGGATTTTAAAACATTTTAACGGGTTTTTTCGAACCGTTTTCTATAATTCGGAGATGTGCGTGCAGTTAAGTGGATTGTTGATGATATAATTTTGAACGGTCGGTGCCACTCTAAAGAAGTTCAACTGCCTTAAAATACAAGCAAGAGTTTTGAGCGAAGCCGAAGGGCATTTATCTCGAATTTCTTTCACTCCGCAGCAATTTGAAATCTGATTGTTGTTTATGGCATTTTTGTCTTTCAAGAAATACGAATGTTGATTATGTGCTACTTGATTGCGTTTTAAGATAATCTCGCGTCGAATACCAATTATGCTTTAAATTTATAATTGATTAATTTTACACTTGACTACAATCCATCAAATATAATAAAGATGGCGTTCATCGAAAGCCTTGTCGACGTAGAATTCGTAAAGGATTTAGTATGTAGTCAAGGCAAAACACATGAGGAAGTTTCAAACATTTTAAAGGAGATGTTTCCTGAAACAACTCGCGGGCTAGGCGAGAAGAGTGTGTACCGCTTTTGTAAGGAACACGGATTAAGAAGGACCAAATCTGACGCAGAACTCGATGTTACTGTGAGAAATGCTGTGTCTATGGTAAGCGTATATTTACTAGAATGGTAGGGGGGTAGTGCGGCTAGAATGGTGGGAGGGGGTAGTGCAGCTAGAATGGTGGGGAGTGTAGATATTTAAAATTGAAGAATGTATATTATACCCAACCTACAGGCGTAGGGACTCCCCGCATTGAAGTATATACACACATTAAAGTAAAGGACCAACTTTGCATAACTCCTTTCAATCTCCAAAAGCCTTGTCCGGGGGTGGGGTGAACGGAGATTGTGTAGAAAAAGTTTGTTGGTAAATTGATTGGAAATGGTCGGTAAATTGATTAATGAATAAAATTGAGTTGGCTGGTAAACGTAGAGGAGCAGCCCACCAGTTGAAAGGGTCCTTGTCTACGACGTTCTCTTCAGAGAAGCGCAAAACCTTCTGATTTCCATGAATATTTTCACTGATGTGTATGTATGCTATTTCAGGTTGGTCCAGTATATGGAAGGAAAATGCTGAAGGGATTTTTGGACAGTAGAGCTAAAATAGTAGTGGCATCCGAAAAACGAATTGGTTCTTCTCTTGCCAGAGTCAAACCAGATAACCATAGAAGGAGGCAACAGAACATTGCCAGACAGATAAATCCTACTCCATATGTTGCTACGCATTTTGGTCACAAATTACATATAGACCAAAACGAGAAGCTTGTCAGATATGGTGCTACTCATGTTGGCGCAATTGATGGTTTTTCTCGTTTTGTAACAGCTTTTACTACAATGCCCATTAAGAACAACTTGCTGATATATGATAATATTTACAGGTAAGTATATATCAGTGTCGTGTAAGTGTAATATTACCCATGGAAAAACAAAACCGAATGATTTTTTCTATTTAATTTTTTACACTTTTGTAGGAAGACTGTTCTTGACTTCGGAATGTTTGATCAAGTCAGGACTGATCATGGAAAGGAATTTGTCTTGATACAGTTTGTGCAAGAAACTTTAGCTCATCTGAGAAGAAATGTTGATATTGATCCTCATCGACAAACCGAATCCAAGCATGTAAGGAACAATGTTTCAAATTAAATATACAATGTTTAGAGTGCTCAATTCCACGTTCTTTGTCGAGCGAATTAATATTAAATTCTTAATTTGAAGGGACACAGTCACCAATCGGCCTTTCTCACGCCGCCATTTTTGGATGGCTTTTCAACCGAAGTCTTCGATTTAAGTCCCACATAACAGCGACTTTTTATAATTTTTTGGACGAATGTTGGTCAATTTGCTTTGTAAATGGTTAAATTATGCTGAAAAATTGCTTTCCACATTCTTTTACAGTAATTGTCTGCATTAGTTTAATAACGAGAATTAGATGCCACCCAAAAAAGGTAAAAATGGCGGATATTCACGTGAGAGGCTAATTGAGACTAATTGAGCGATGTTATTTAGTCCGATATAAAATTCCAGAACTTTTTCAAGTCAGTGATTTGCTCATATCATACTAAAATAACATCGCTCAAACGGTGACTGTGTATCTTTAAATAGAGTGATAACTCTGCACGAGTTTAAGGCTCAATTACTTATATTTGTTTGACCTATACCAGTCAGTTAATTTTTAGAATCTTCCTATTGAACGTTTTTGGGTTGAAATAAATGGAAGAGCCAACTACCCTATAAAACGTGTTTTGGTGGATATGGAAGCACGTGATGAAATTGACATGGACAACAATGAGACAAAGTATTGTGTTTCATGGGTAACAAGGAAATTAGTATCCATTGCAACACACAACACTGTGGAATCATGGAACAACCATTGCATACCAAGTAGGTTTTCAGAAACTATACCCACAATCCGTAGCTGACAAATTACGAAAGTACTGATACTCTTCAGTTTGTGTTACCAAATGCAACATACTGAACGATTTTCCAGTCCCGTTACTTAAAGGGAACTGTCATACCGTTCAGTCTGAACCACGGTCGGTCGGTCGGTCAGTCAGTCAGTGACCACCATCATTTGTCAATTTTCATAAAACAATGTACAACTACAAGTCAACTTTCAAACACATCGTAGGCTCTTGGAAAAAATTAAAAAGATAATTAAAAATGTTTATTTTCATTCTTGACAGGACGAGGAAAACCCGTCATTCTCAGGGACAGTAATAATTTAGCGCAAGTGATCGACCCTATCTACCTTCCTGCATGTGATGAAGCTGTGCAGGTCTATGAAAATCTAGGAGGAAGGCTAACCATGGAACCGCAGTTTGGAGAATACCTGTTAAATGGTGATGAAGATTTACAGACCAGCAGAGAATTACTTTGGTTAAATAATGTACCTGATGTGAATGTTATATGTGGCCACCTTGTCAATGATCTTGACCACTCTTTCAGACACGCAGTGAATAGTTTTTGTGATCTTACCAGGCAGCTTTCCGCTTGATGTATGAATTTTATTAACATACTACAGTCGTGGTCAAAATATTGGCACACTTGACACTGCGACATTTGACTCCCAACATAATAATGCATATCTACTCGCTACCCCCAGTTAATGTTGGCTGTATACTGGGTTATTTTTAAAAGGTATTCCTCATCATTGATTGCAGGGGATGCGGGGGGCGGGGGGGGGTACAGTCTTGACATAACATCGTATATACAATGTGGATGTACTGTACATATCCATAAATCTGTTCCTATCGACAAAATTAATGTTCGCCCTTACTATACTAAATACCTATATTACACGATACGATTATTCGTTTCCTGACGTATGCGATTGCATGGCCAGAAATCACGGACATGATTATTCTTTACTAACTTTGCATATCATTAATACATAACCTGTTGTAATATGGCTTCGGTAGTAAACAGTGAATTATATTACGCGATGCTTTAAATCGCAAAATTAGAAATATTGGTAGGTTGTTTGCAATTTGCCTCGATTGCTGGTTGCTGTTTGCCTGGTGTATGTTTCTGCCTATTCTGCATTTTCGTTTGTTTCTAGTGGCAATAGTGCGGTATTCTTATATGGAGTTAAATCGACAAATTCCGTACAAACTAACCTCGGTACAAATACTGAAAATGCAGAATAGTCACTAACTAAAATCAAGTCAACATTATACACTAAATACTTCGACAGACTTTGACTTATAGCCAGCGACTGAGGCAAGTTGCAAACGACCTACCATAATCCATATTATCTGATTTGGGGATTTACAGCATCGCGTAATATAATTTATTGTTTACTGCAGAAGCCATATTTCAACGTGATATTCAAATTGCGAAGGAAGTAGAATAAATCATGTCCGTGATTTCTGGCCATGGACAAAAAATTTCGAATTATGCACTCGCTATTACTTGTTGAGTTGCAAACGGAAGGCGTAACAGTAACAGTAACAACAGGAACATTTATTTTTATCCGCCCTAGGATACGATCTGAGTGGGCATCACTACATTTTTTCAAAGCTCAGCATCTCAAATAAACAACTGGTATACCTAAAGTTGTACCTCATGCAGTTGTACCTAAATTAATTAAAGTCTAAGACTATGTTTAAAGAATTATGTACTAGACATAGTACATGTGATATATTTTTGGTTTACAAACTTTAAGCCACCATGCATGTTATTTGGTCCTGATCGTGTTTGGAATTTCAAACGTCCTTCGGACGACAAGCTCCCGAACCACATTACGTTTGACATTAAGTTAACTTTCCATGTTTAACAAAACGCAACAGTCAGTAAAGTTAGTATAATCAAAATGTATATACTGATTAGACAGTCTTAAAGAGTTACTTTGAATTTCAACTGCGATATAGCAACAGCATACCCGCCATGGGCCATGGGAATATAGTCTTGTTTACCGCATCATAGTCATAGACATATAGTCCAGACGGCTTTGTTTGTTTCCTATATGCCATCACTTTTAGAAATTTCCGTTTTGAGCTGACTAAGAAATTCTAATCCACGTACAATATGTATTCCTTCAGTATCATGATTTCTGCAATTTGGACAAGCTCTTGTTGTTGCAACAGCTGGAGTTATGCACGTTTCACAGCCAAGTATTTTACCACAGCAATTCGCAAAGACGGCCGGTGGTTCTATCACATATTTGCATATGATACACTGTAGCTCCTTTCCAATTTCCAAAATAAGTTTAGTGCTTTCAAACATGGCTAGTGTGTGCAGGTCTGCCTTTATATCAACAACAGATTGTTTTATTTCGTTGAAGTGCTGTGACATTTCTTGGTTGGTGTTCTCAATTATGTCATCTGTAAACCAAAAATGCCACAAAAATTGAGCAATAATGACTATATAAACTGCTTTTATGACATGGTATATTAGTATTTCATGGAACTAAGCTATATAACAAATTGACGATATACAGTATGTACAACAAATTAAACTGTTATCAGAGCCAACAACACATATCAATTTAAATTAATTTTTATATGTATAATGTATTGTTGGTAGTTACCTTTGATCTTAGTCATGAGATTGTTCAACTTTTCATCTTTCTTTTCATCATCTTCAATGTTCACTACCTCAGGCTCACTCTTTGCTCTTTTCATGGGGACTGCAAAGATTCTTCTTGAATTTGATTTCCAAAAAGATAAACCTTAATAAAGTTACATACAACACTTTTCAGTATATAGTATAATTAGGGTATACATATAAACTAATTCTGGATGCATGTTGTAGAAGATATATAAAGTCCATCCAACAACAAGAGTCAGGTTGGTATATAGCTTGATAAAGTTCAGGGTAAAAAAATGATAAATAGTTTATAATAACTATACTTTAAGTCTAGTTTATACTGTGGCATAAATATGAGATTTCGCTTTAATATTACTAAATTAAAATTATTTTTAAACAAACATGTACAATGTCAATGTGTCAATGCAAGGGCGGGCCGGATTTTCTTTTTTTTAAAGGTGGGGTGGAAAAAATTCTATAGTTGGGCGCAAGCGGCACCACTGAGCGAGTTTTGGCAGGGGTTATAGGCATTAAGGTTATGACTTTCAGCCAAAATAGGAGGGTTGAAGCAAAATTTTGGTGGAATTGAACACTTTGTTAGAGAGATTCTAAGGGGGTTTAACCCCCCTAACTCCCCTAGTAAATCCGCCCATGTCAGTCAATGGGTAAAATGGTTTACACAAGCATTTTTAAAAAACTACATTGTAAATACCATAATATAAAATCATAAAATAGAATTTCAAACCACATCAAATAGAAAACATTTGTACCTCGGGTAGCTTCACTATCTTCTATAGATAAGCCATTGCTGGAAACAATAACCAAAGTTTCGTCATCAAACTCTTTCCTGCAAGCTTTCGTTATTGAACCAACATCGGCACTATCTTCGGCAATCATAATATATTTCTGACGTGATTGATTAACAATCTTGTTCCTTTCAAGCTCTGCTAGAGTAACTTTCAAAGAATATTTCACTACTTTCTGTTTCTTCGATGGTGGTAAAGAAACTGCTTGTGCTGTTGATGCTGGTTTAGAAGACCTGTTAAATCATAAAAATCCGTTTTTGTCATCTAGTATTTACACAGTAAGGCAGTTAATATAAAGTAAGAACCAATAGCCCATTAGGAGTACGGGGCAAGGGGGGGAGCTGCCCCCAGTCAAAATGAAGGCGGGCAAATTAGTATAGGTAATCGCATGGGGTCGAGTAAAATTAAGGTTTAATTTCACGCGTGTTTTCAAAGTTAACAGAAGTGAAATTAAATCTTAATTTTACGAGGAACTGTGCGATTACTTGTTAATCATATAGAGGGCAAAATGTATTCGTATGTTAATTGTGAACTTGTCAAGTTCTTGAACCTCAATCGTATGTCTCAATTCTTTATCAACTAGGGGTAGGTCTTAATTCAAAAGCCTGTCCAGGTTTCTAGTGGACGTCTAGACCTTACATTACTTATTTTACATAATTAATTACTATTCTTGTAAATACTACTGGGGAAAACATTTAAATAAATAAATACCTACAACCAGTTTCGAATGTCTTGTCACAGATGTTGAGATGCAGCAAAAACGTTTAATCCTGATTTTAACAAATGTCGATCCCCCGCATCCCCCCCGCCCGCACTCCTGCCTGCCAACCAATTCAATGTTGTGTGCCATTTTTATAACAAATATATTGTGCAGTATTAAAAAATCAGATATACTATCCCAATAAATTTATACCACGGTATGTGATAATAGTTTGCAACGATATACCTGAATAATGAAGAAAAACCACTATTTCGGTTTTGTAATTGTGGCATTGACATTGCTGCATTCATCTGATTTCTTGGACGCCCTGCAACACGCATGTACCCAAGGTAGAATATTGAAGACAAATCAAATCGTCCATCGTCGCCTGGCCATTCCGTGCTTCCAGTGCCATCCTCAACCAAAAAAACTGTAGAGCTTTCCAACTACAAAACATTGTGGGGGGAAAGTTTATGAAAAACATCAAAGCACATCATTAAATTCATTATTTAATTTATTTAATAAATATAAATTCTTAAATATGAGAATATACTGATTAACTTACGTTAAACATTATGGCAAGTCGCTCGGCAGTTACTTGGCGTTTTCTTATTTTCACTGCATCCTCTTTCGAGGCATTGTAAAACACAAATATTTCGTCATCATCATGATCCAAAATGCTATCCATCTTACGAATCAAAGCGAATAAGGTCGAATAATATTAAATCAAAAAGGTCACAAAACAACTATAATGACAATAGCAGTGTTTATAAATAGACCTGTCGTTTATACACTATTACAAAATTCTTACTGTAACAAACCACGTGCTATACTCGAACGATGTTGATTTCCGTACGTGCCAAATCAATACAAATATTTTTCATCGGAATTTCACGCAAGACCACGCGATTTCTGAATTATGTTAATAGAAAATGTTGCCATTCGCATAACTGCATTCGCAGTTTTCGCTGAATGGAAAATTGATTTCGTTTAATTAAGAAGACATTTGAATTCGTATTCCATTTTCACGGAAAACGGTTTTATAATAATAAAATGTTTTAAAATCCATTTTCCATTTTTATGGAAAACGGTTTTCTAATAAAATGTTTTAAAATCCGTTTTCCATTTTCACGGAAAACAGTTTTCTAATAAAATATTTTAAAATCCATTTTCCATTTTCACGGAAAACGGTTGTCCAAAGTGACCCACGGATTCTATGGCCTGGGACATGGACACTATTTGCCCTGCTACTGCTGCCAGTTGTCTCGCCATTACTTTTTGGGGGCACCCTAAGATGTTATCTAGTGATTGTTCCAATTTCTGTAACCGTGTTTCGGTAACAAACAACTGATTAAGAGACATATTAAAAATGTGGCCAAGCCATGTTTGTATCGGCATTGGTTCCCAAAAACACTTTCTCTCGCTGAGGAGGAACCCTTACTGAATCAGATCTCTCTTGACTGTCTGTCAGACTATCGTGGCACTCTGAAGTGATGAACTACCCCCTAAGCCATCATCCAGAAACATGCAGACTCTTTTACCTGAGGACCTCCAATGTCGAAGTACTGGTTTTAAAATTTTAGTAAACACCAGAGGTGCAGTAGAAAGCCCAAAGGGCAGAACCCGAAAAATAAAATATTGGGAACTGCAGTTGTTGGCCACTTCTTCCAGCTCACGCTTCATCTGGCCCACTTTCGTGTCCATGACGGCCGACAGCTTTTCCAGCATAGACTCCTGTTGTTTCTGGAGTTCTGTTCTCAATTCTTCGTTCATTGTGCCCGTTTTGATTTGTTGATGGTTTATAATAAATGTAAAAATACTAAAAGTACTGTTTGTAAAAAATTTTGTGTGTGTTGATGCAGTGCCAGACTAGAATGAGCTGCCCAAATCATGTGACCACTTTGGCGCCCAGCCAATAACCATGCCAGTCACGTTTTTGATGAACCGTGGAAACATACATTTTCTGCTATTCTGCGAACCACAGAAAATAACATGAGAATATGAAATTGTTTCATTCTTGCATGCTTATGTTCCTGGGCATGACAAGGCCTCATCAGAAAGCAAGACAGTAAAGGTTTTGAGTGAAAGGGACTACCTAACCTTTGAAAGGCACAAGGAAGCTCAGTCAGAGCCATGCAAGATGCAAGGAATCCTTCTGCAATATTGGAAGGCCTTATTCCAAAGACAGAGGACTTTCACACACAAATGGAGTGGATGCAAGTAAGAATGAATACATTACAGATGATTAAAATATTCAGAGTGCATTATATACAATGTACTTAGTCAATATACCAGATCATTATAGGTTGAATGTCATTCCAGATACTGTATAACTGTACTTAATTACTACATACAAGTTCAGTACAAGTTACTCATGGTTGTAATAAGATTAAACATACTCGAAAATGTGTATTAAGACTCTTTTGTAATATTTTGTCTAAACTTTTTTTTATTTGCATAACACTTCTTTTCTTAGTCTATAAATACTTACACATTTAGTATTAGAAAATAGTATATATAACCTAAATATATATTTTTTAATCTCTCTATTATATAATTAAGTCCATACTCCATACTTAAGTCTGGTTTTGTAATTTCTCTTCCAGATTTTCTTCATCTGTATCACTTTTCGAGTTATAATTTTCAGTTTGATTGAATCATTTCTCTTCAATATTTCTCTTTCGATATTTCTTGATCATTTGGAGTCACGGCTCTGTTAATCACTTTTAGATGTGATTTATTTCTCTTGAAAGTTTATCTATTTCGAAATCGTACTGTAACGCCGTAATTTTTAATGCAAACTACGGGACCAACTTCGGGTTTTAGGCAATCAGTCCTTCAATCTTGCATAAACACTTTATCTCCTAATTTGATATGGGAAAATGTTGGATAGATGGACTAGAGGAAATATACAGTGTATAATAGTTTATGACTTCATGTGAAACATAATGCTAACTTTGAGGCAACTGAACATTAAGTATAGCACTATTACTTTGATCGAAACGTACATATGCATGCTTTTTGCTAAAAGTTTTGTTTTCACTTTTCAGTCGAATCCTTCATTATTAAGGACATTATCAAGTTCATTTTCTATAGGTATAGAAACTCTATCCAGGTTAAGTATTTTTAGATCAGTGGCTGTGGGTGGTTTTGCACCCCCCAGAGGAATTTGGCACTGCCCCCAAAAAGTTTGTACCCTCCAAATTATATATATTACCAACACCATTCTTGCCCGAAAAATTTGCCATCCTTTTACTTAAAGCAAATTGTAAAAATAGACTTTATAAGATAATTATTGTAACTAAGCATACAAGGATAGCTCAAATTTTCAAGTATATAGTATAGGTAATCACACGGGAAGGAGTGCAATTAATGATTAACACTACGAGTGATATTTGAAAAATGTGCCAAAATTGCACGAGCCACCGAGGCGAGTGCAATTTGGCACATTTTTCAAATATCACTTGTAGTGTTAATCATTAATTGCACTCCTTCCTGTGTGATTATTTATTTATTATATGCATGACAAAATCACTTTCTTTAAAATTCAACTGCATTTTGTCAATAGTTTTTAATTCTTTTGTAAGCAATTTGGTATAAGCAAACTTGGGAAATTATTATAAACTCATAAAGGCACATATCTTAAACTAGAACACAATATTCAAACTCAAACAACATATTTTAGACTAAGAAAATCTTTATAAATTGTATTTCAAACTTACATAGTCATGTTTTGCTGCATCCCACCAAGATTATTTCTTAAAACTGTTTCCAGGTATTTTCCACAGGCTCTTTTTTCCATACAATGTTTTTAAACTCATTCTTGTGCCAAAATTCAGTTAAATTCGTCCACATTTGTTAGAAATATTTATTTAAATTTTGCCGCCATCTTGGTTTTTGTTGTTTTGATTTCCCCAGCCATCACAAATATCATTAATTGCACTCCTGGCAAGTGCAATTAATGATGGTAATAGAACGAATAGGAGTGCTATTAACAACCTCGTACCCAGGATCTTTCTTTGGGAAAGACCCTGGCTGTGGCTGGTCACGTGTCTCATCAAAAATTTAGCGCCCGAGGGGGTGTGGGGAAAGTATCAAATTACATCAACATGCTTCCAGTGGGATATTCGTTAAAAACATAAATTTTGCGAATTACTACGTTCAAAATACTTGCTAATTTTTGTTTATTTTCTTTGCTTTGAATTTACAAGAACATTCTTACTTACAGCCAAGTCAAAGAAACCAAGCAAATCGTTACTCGCAGTGCTTGAGTCTCGTGTTGTTTAAATATTCAATGCATGCTCTCAGAGACTCGAGCACGGTTATAACAAACGTTTATTGTAATGTCTTTAAAATACGCCATTACATTCATCCTTTCTTGTAAATGTTGATATGCTTTGCACCGATTCGCGTCTTGTTTATAAGATTTTTAAAAGAAACAGCATTGTCTAGGACTGGCCCAATATTAGCAAAGGTAAACATTTGATAATAGCCGAACAGAGAAATGTCCATAAGCATAGTCATACAGGAAATTTCAGCCATTGATTTATCTGGATTTAGTACATAATTCGTATTCGGTAATTATAGTAAGACTTTAGCCTTTTTCTTGGTCTCTATTAATCATTATATTGTGTTAACATACTATAATCTATATCACAAATTTACAGTGTCAGATGCGCACAGACCGTCATTGGCATCATACGAATAGACATTAATTTTCGAGTTTTCTACTTCTACTAACATTTTTAAAGTTTTCATTGTGAATCACCTGTTTATCTCTAATTCATTAAAGGGGAAGTCAAGTCCGTTCTGCGCATCTGTTCTGCGCATTGTTTACGTTTTTGTTTTCATACACTATAACTAGCTTACATAAAGTCCTTCCCCTTTCATTGCTCTCACCTGGATGAATACACTATAAAACAAAGGACGATATTTATAGTCTTAACAATACGCTAGACGAAATCGAACGCAGTCAAATAGAGGAAATCGCGCAAGTTCCAAATGTTGATATTAACATGACAGTATGTTCATGTCGCGGAATGTGTTCACGAGAAAAAGGAAGAAATGCTTGTCCTTGCAAGGGAATAGGAAATTATTGTTCTTCTGTTTGCCACCCGGAAAGCCAGTCATGCATGAATCGACTAAATATCGAAAGTGACACAGACGAGGACACAGATTCGTTTGAAACATTTGAAAGTCAAAGTGAAATGCAGGTATGTGGATGTTACCAAAATAGTGTGTGTTTTTTTACCATAATAGTAATTTTGAAATATTTCAATGTAAGATTTTTTTGGCAGGAATTAGGAGAACATGACACTGATGATGACGACAGTGAGAAATCGGATACCCCAGAACCACAAGCAAAGCGAGCGAGAGGTCGTACAAGTGGTTTATCCCGCGGAGCTAGAGGCAGAGTTCGTGGTCATGGTAGAGGGCCTAGAGGCTGTGGAAGAGGTCGTGGATGAGGTCGTGGACGAGGTCGAGGAAGACTAATTGCAGAAGATAATTCCGAACAACGACTGGTTGCGCACGAACAACAGCTGCAGGTAAATATCAAATTGTTAACAATTCAAATATATTTTTATATCGCTTTCAAGTATATTTTAATTTGTTCTGTTTCCCAGATAGAACTTTGCCGATACGGCGATACCATTATAGAGTATAATATACAAAACGACAGTAACTCCAAATAACTACCAAATAGTTACTGTCGTTTTGTATTTTATAAAAATACTCAGTGGTTCCCGTAACCATAATTACAGAGTATATACATTGTATAGTTTATCAATGGTTGTACATTATTACATTATGAATAAACAGTGTACATATAACTTCTGGAAGTTTGTCACTTTCGATTGATGTATTTTATACATGTGGATATAAGAGATCGTTTATAAACATGAACGTTTAAACATGTTTATACCATAAAAAATTATCTTATATATTGCCTACATGTTATTGTTATGACTTATAGTAATTAATATCAATAATATGCTCACATATTGAATACATATAACCTTTACTGATTGTTTTCTTCGTCAACCATGCAACATACTAGTGAATATACCACTTCAAAATTAGGCTTCACTGTAAGCATAGCTCTAGTCAGTTTAATAATAGGAACCAGGGTCAGGGAATGTGTGTGCCCTAAATTTTCTTCCAATTTCTATTTTCAAGTTAAAACAATGAAAGCAATTATAGCTATTGTTTGGTTAATATAAACTGTGCTGTAAAAGTGGCATACTAGTTCCCCTTTGCTTCATAAAATACTTGAGGATATGGGTATTTAGACATCAATTGTATTGATACTTCAATTGCATATATGAGCTATTTGAAGTGAAAATGGAAGACTAATTAGCAATTAATGTGATATACTTTTTGTAGAATTTAGTTGAAAGCCTAGATGTGAATGCTTTGAGAAGATTGGCATTAGAATTGTTGTGTAGACAGCCAGCAACATTTTGTGACTTGGTAAATGGTGAACTACCACAAAATATGCAACAAGATCAAGGTGAACAATCCCATTCTCCACCAGAAGAACCATCCCAACCTCCAGAAGAAGGAAATCCTGAATGGTGTTTTTGTGGTAATTGTGAACAAATGCCCACCCAAGATGAGAACAAATGTTGCGCAAAAAGAATAATGCCTTGTGTGACAGTAAATCCTTTGTTCAACCAGCTTGTCCTGGATCTTCAAATGAGGTACAGAGAGGATATTTTAGTTTTGGAACATCCTAGAAATAACGAAAACTTTCGACATGCTGCATATAGACAATTTGTTCTCTGGCAGCATGGGCGCTTAGGCAAGGGCAACAGAGTAGTCGTACCAAGCTGTTGTGTGCTTGCAATAAGAGCAAGGTATCCTTCCCCGAATGGAGTTTATATAGGTTTCAGACCAGCTAGACTATAGTATTGCAATTGCATGCATATATGCATAATTTATGTATATATTTGATAAATTCAGGTTGTTATTATAAAAAATACATTATTAATATAAACATTATTTAATTTAAAATATGTACAAAATTGTACTGTACTTTGAATAAACCTATTCAACCAACCAGAAAAAATTACAACATCTAAAACAAAGAACCTAAAGTGGGCAAATAGCACAGAAGGCAAGTTACTACTCATCATCTTAACTGTTTATTTTTGGGTTGTTCCAGAAAAGATCCGCACTCACCCCACAGAGGAAATGCAGTCGAGGAGGAGGGGAGAAAAAATAGTTGCTGATTATAGTAAATGTATTAGGACATCTGAAGGGGATTAACTTCTGGGGGGGGGGGTGCTTTGGATGTTTTCAGGCATGACCCATTACATACATGAAAAGTATGGAAGAACTGTTGACGCTTTGAGTTAAGTTCCTTTGTCAATAAGCTGGTTGCATGAGTTATGAAAACACATGTGCAAAGCCATGCTGCAGGCTTATTGGCAAAGGAACTTCACTCAAGATGTCAGATTTTCCAAATATTGCTTGTAGTTAATTAAATAAACAAATATTAGCTACGAGAGCTCTACGTTACTTTATGTAGTATATTATTGCAAACTCCTATGGCGTAATTCTGTTATGTTGGTTTTTTTTGCGGTAACTATTGTTTTATTAAATTTACATAATTTCTTGTGTTCAATTTAAAGGAGTGCAGATTTCCATAGGTGGCTCGTCCTAAAATAACTATTTTTACTTCAAAACACTTTTTAAACATAGACATTTTAAAAATGCCTATGGGTGCATGCAATTCATGCTCACACCTGGTCAATAAGGTACTTCCTGATGATAGCAAATTGATTGAAGAAAAAGCAAAATATTTAACTTGTAATACCAGTATATATAAAACAGAAATATCAATTTACTACTTCAGACCATAACTTAATATTGTCAAAAATTGTCAATCTTGCATTGTTTCAATAGTACATGAATCAAGTTTGTGCCGCAAATCTTGATTGATGTCGGGCTAACAGCTCTTCCATCGAGGGGCTGGGCTCTAAAGCAATATTTGTTGCTATCCTTCGTGGATCATCATCTGACAGTTTCAACTTCTGTGTAACATGCCCGGGTGTTGTTTTTCGTTTTTCAAAAATTGCCAGAATTAGTTCGGGAATGTATTTGTATTCCTTTGGTTCCAAAATAGGCACTGCACTCCAGACTTTTGTTCGCTTGCTATAACGACGTTTGTACCTTGAATACAAAACTAATTTATAAACTTGAAAGATGTTGTTTAAGTTTGCACTTCAATGGATGGAACTCAATTGCATGCTGGGTTTGGTGGAAAATCTATATATACTGTAGACCATCTTAAGACCTAACCAGGAACGGTTGCAAAATACCTGTATACATTAACTTATGGTTAGATCTTGACAACTGGACTCTGTATCTCAGTTGGTCAAAGCACTGCACTAGAATTGCAGGGCCGTAAGCTCAATTCTGGAGGACCAAGTGTTGCATTGTTTGTAACTGTTCCTGGTTAGGTCTTAAACTTTTGTATATACATACACACACTTGGATTATCCACCAAACCCAGCATTCTAATTTATAAACATCAGGTTATTACACAATTACATCTCATTTGACTACTGATGAAATCCTTCCACACTAAGAGTTGAAATGAAATACAGACAGTCTGTTTATCATTTGCAACATGGATGATTTTTCAATAGTTTATGAACAAAGTTCTTTAGGATTTTGAAATAAACAATAGGAATTCATTTTATTTATAAGTTCATTTACCTGGGTTTTCCATCAGCTGTTTCAGCAATTTTCCTGTTCAAATGCTTATTGAAATCTATGGCTGCAAGTTGGTTCCTCAACTTGTATCCAACAAGCCTATTGAAAAGCAGTCAAATTAATTACTATAATATACTGTATGTTGAAAACATTAGGTGTTTTTTTTAAAAAGTTTTTTAACTAACCCTTTTCAATGGGTTAAATAGACCCATGTGCAGATAGGCCAGTTAACCCATTAAGCGCCAGCGCTCTCCCCTTGACGAGTAAAATCGTTTGGCGCTAGACAGAGTAAAATACTAAAGTAGGGTGCATGACACGTCAGGGGGCAATTTGACTCGATGGGTTAAAGATCAGATTAAACTATTCACAAAATGTACTTACGTGTAGGAAAATCGTTTGGGACAGTACATCAACAAATGATTGTGAAATGACTCCAAGAATCCAGTATGTCTAGATATGGTCAATATAAGCATTCCAATATTATTAATAATAATAAAAACATTGTCAATAAATTCACAGCTGTTGCAAATTTTAATCTAACCTAAAGTTTGTGTAGTAATGCAATTCGTTTAGGAGTCGCTTGTGCAATAAGATTTGTCTTAGTGCTTTGTGTTCAGACGAGTTTTTTTCTAGCCATGGTTTGGTTCGTTCTTCTTCTGACAACACATCATGATCACATTTTCCTTGCCCTTTTCCATCATCTAACACCCATGTGTGCTCATTAACTACATGGTGAAGCAACCCAATCCACAAATCCTACATAAAATTACCGAGTATGAGATAGGGCATATAAAAAAAGCGGTTAAAATGGCAGTACTTTACTGAATAAAATCAAGTAGAAAATAAAACATAGCATTCTAAAACAAATTTGCTTATGACGTGAAATTCTCAAGTTGGAAATGTACTCTTCCATGTTAGACTGTTGGTCCTTTCTTTACTCATGTTACAAATGCTTCTTTGACCTTGAAGCTTCACTTTCATTAATAATGACCGAAAATACAAAAAGATTTTATGACACATTTACATATAAGCTGTAGTGACATTTTGCAACATGATACGTTCTTACCAGGGCATATTTTTACTGGAGCATTTGTGACAATTGCCCTAGTTTGAGATGAGAATGATGTGTATCACTGTGGACAATGAAAGTGAAAAATCTATATTGTGAAGAAATGTTGATGTACAGGGTAGAGGTTTTTCTTTTTCAAATGAAAGTTTCCCGGTTTAAACACTGAGCTCTCTAAACACATATTAAGGAATGCCGAAAAGTAAATTTCTACCACAAACTGTCATCACAATGCATATTACATGAACACTGCTGTATAATTGGCAGAACTTGCCATGGAGAGTTGCTGCAGTCCACAGCAATTTTTGACATCATTACTGTGGTTAAGTTTTAGGGAAATTCCCGAGGTCTGGTTATTACTGACACTAAATTATGGTTGAAACAAATAGTTTAACAAGCCTATAGCATTAATTAACTTATATCAACATTTACGATGTAACATATTAATAATTAAAATAAGTGTGTACTAGTACCTTAAAGTCAGTAGTACTACCACCACAATTTCTACTGCAGTACCAAAAATGGTTTCTAACAGAAGCAATCCAATGTGAAAGATCTTCATTTCCTTTTTCATGAGCAGCCTGGATTCAATAAAACATAACAAACATAAGAAATCATTGTATCACTTTATATTGCAAACACCATGCACCACTGAGCAATATGACTATGAAATGCTCATTTAACTTATTCTTATTTTAAGTCAAATTAGCACTATATTAACCCATTGAGTCGCATTGCACCCTGATGCACCCTACTTTAATATTTCGCTCTGTCTAACGCCAGACGATTTTACTCATCAAGGGGAGAGCACTGGCGCTTAATATGTGCAATGGCTGATTGCTCATAGTTTGCAATGTGAATAAGTCAGACCACTCTCCATGCGAACTGTTCAGATCGTGTATATGTAAATGTCAACATGCATAGCCTAACATGCTAATTAATCATACATACAGCAGTCACTTTCTTTGCAATGATTTTTGCACCATGCCAAATATCTCGTTGATGCAAAATGTCTTTGTACTTTGGTGCCTTTTCTGAAGAAATGAAAATTCTAAATGAATACACATTATTGTCAAAATTACTGTTTTTAATCTTCTCAAACACAATGTGATTTCCAATGTCGAACTTATCATGCGCTGAACTAAATTTGTATTATAGCAAAACCGGTAAATGCTGCCTCTCACCACTCTGACCAGAGGCATTGCCGCATTAGGTGATTGTAAATGCATTAAGTATGACAAAGCAGAACACGTTTGAAACCAACTTGGCCTTAGAGATTGTCCACAAGTATGTAAACTTTTTCATCACTTACTCATCAAAGCACCAATTTCCAAATGGCCATCAGTAACCACCTCCTTAATTATCATCTTCGACTCCATCTGCTTATCTAGACCTTTTTCATACCCAATTCTTTCCATGTTGTTGCTCTTCCTTCCTTCTACTTCCCTGACATCAACTATGTTCATCTGCAGTATGCACTTTGTAGTCATATCAGCAAAGGTATATGTACAGTACTGAGCGCAGTGACCTGGCGAATCATTTCTCCCATCAGAACTTAATATTATTTCCTTATCTTCACGATCTTTCCATGCAACACTCTTCATTCTTTCCCAATAATCATTCACCGCAGGTGCAATGTACAGGCTCTGGTACTGGTTGTAGAGGTTTTTGGAAAAAAACTGCAAATTCATTACCTTGCACATAAATCCTATCTTGGTATAAGAATTTCCAGATAATGGAATGGCCGATGCTAGTAGCAGATTCCCAGCACGAACACCTTCACATGTAGGTTGAGCTGCCCACCTTCCACCAAAGTGTCCAGCACTGCAGGACCAATGGACAACAAGGCACGTACCGACAAAACTGCTTTTAAAATTAAGTTCCCGGTTACACTCATTTCGCTTACATGTTGAACCATGTATTTTGCAAAGGAGATCTAATATTGCTGATGTTGATGCAAAGCAAAACTCAAGTTGAGCCACATCAATTGGTGAGATCCTGACAACCTCACTTCTGTGATGTTCTGTATCATCGGTTTCTTTTCCTTGGCCATCATTTTCACCAACATCCGGGCCATCATCATCATGACCTTCAATTATGGTGTCATAAATTTCCCCCTCCAGTGACATGTTCTCAATATCAACATCTAGCAATCTTTAACAAATAATATTGATATGCATTACAGTATAAGTTTCGGTAATTTTAACCTTGTTGTTAACCCATTGAGTCTCTTTACACCCTGATGTACTCTACTTTAATATTTTACTCTGTCTAACGCCAGACGATTTTACTCATCAAGGGGAGAGCGCTGGCGCTTAATGGATTAAGGGATGGAGATTGGAGATGATTCAAGTGATCACCCAACAATGTTGCAGTGATCCACATTATCTGACAAGACTATATTGGGCTCTTTAATCATAGTGTTAATTTGTTAGATAGATCAGCATGGCTACAGTATATAGGATTTATCTCATAATATGTTTACCTTGCAACATAGAGTTTCTCACACACTGCCGGGAGCTGATGTAGTATCACCCAATCTCTATATCGGAGCCCCATCAGTGTGTGCCAGAGTAAAATATACACCTCTACAGTACTACAACTACTAGCTACTACTATCAGATACCTGTGACAATTGTATGTATTGTATTGTATTTAAAACTTCTTTTAAGACGCTGGCCCCATCAGCTACAGACTGGTTTTCATGGGGGGCGTCTACTACACTATATTATACTAAATTAACAAGACTACTGACTATATTACACTATATATTTACAAGAAGAAACTATTACTATTTACCAATTACACTATATACAAAAGGGAAAAAAAAAGAATAACAAACTAGATCAATATAACAGCACACACTATTGATAACTGCTTAAAGACGTATTTAAATAGATAAGTACTTGTTTTCGATTTAACCCATTAAGCGCCAGTGCTCTCCCCTTGATGAGTAAAATGGTCCGGCGTTAGACAGAGTAAAATACTAAAAGTAGGGTGCATCAGGGTGCAATGCCACTCAATGGGTTAAGCAGCCATACATCATACTTTATTCTTTCACTGTGTCTAACGGCAGACAATTTTACTCGTCAAGGGGAGAGTTGTGCACCCTAATGGATGATATACAGTTATATCAACACAAGTGAAAACGGGAAATTGTGTGGATACAGAACCCGAAGGGTAGAGTAATATAAAAAATATTTTATATTTGTTTTATGATATAGCATAAAGTAATATAAATAAAGAAATTTTCAGATGTTTCTGTGTTGACATTGAATTATATCAACACAGCTCTTAGCCAATCAGCATTTACAATTGCTATATTATAACATACTGTATAACATACCAAGCAACAATCTTTCAAAACAAACTTATAACACTATTTGAGTACTGCATTTTTAGAAAATAAAACTAATCAAATATAATTACAATTAAACTAGGTTTAGGATTTAGGTACACAAAAAATAGCTAAGATGTGGCTATTAGTTTTATACAATCAGGTACAGCCTGATAACACTTACCTATCATTTTCTGGCTGTAAACGAGAATGTTCCAAATCACTATCTTCTGATTCAGTGGCTGACAGGGTATGGTCTTCACGAAAACTGGTCATGACATGTGGTCTACACAATTTCAGAATATATATTATCATATTCATAACAGATCACATTCCAGCAGTTTGGAATACAGAATCTTGTTATTAATTCTGAACATAACAAAGGTCAGATGCCTATTATGATAACGTGTATAACTACCTCATTTGTATAAAAGATTAATTGACTCCAGTAGCTGTTTCATCCGCGCCTTCGGGATCGTGTGATTCTAGTGACAATCTTCTACGTTTACTAACACTGGCCGAAGCACGACTTTCCACTTCTACACTTATTTGCAAAGGTGTAGATGCTAAAACTGTAAAATACAAACATAAAATAAAAATGTGAAGTAAGCTAAAGTCAAATAATCATCGTAATATTTAAATTTCATCACAAAACTTACCTGGAGAGTCTATAAAGATTGCAGTTTCTTCTGTGTGGTCTGTCTGTGTTTCAGCATCACTGCAAGATTTACAGATTTACATTATATTTTTTACACGTAACGGTCAATATACTATTAAATCTAAAACGTATGTATCGTACCTGCTTGTTAAGATTTGCTTCGTGTGTGTGTTCACATAATGCTCTAGAAGCATGGCAGCAAAGTCTTTGTCGGTCTTGATTTTTGCTTCGTCTCTCAGCTGTCGCCACCGCTGAAATAATTGCTCCTCAATAAGATATATCTTCGTCGCATCCCTATCAGCTAAATATTTTTTTCGTTTAGCCCGTTTTTCTTCAGGTGTAACGAAGCTAAATCCACCAATTTCGCTACTAACAACACTTCGGGATGAGCTTTCACCTTCCTCCATGTTGTTTGAATACATAATTAGAAACACATGAAAATACACAAAATGCGCATGTGTAATTCAATTAAAATTCCAATGGTGAGGACATCACTTGTGGAATGTCGCACATGCGCAGAACGGACTTGACTTCCCCTTTAATCATTTGCTACTTATATTTATTTGATAGTGTCGTATAGTGACTGAATAATGCGTTTACACACAAGCAATCCTGGATATGATATAGACGATGCAAGCTGTCCATTAAAAAATAACGGTATTCTATTTCACAAAGTCAAAGCAAAAATTTTAATCTCACTTGTATTATTAAGAATGCATATAGAGCAAAAAATTGAAGCTTATTCCAGTCAAAACGAAAGCTGTTTACAAAATTTATAAACGTGGTGAACACTACTAAAGAGTGCTCATTGAAAGACATGTATAAATATATAGTGACATATAATTTGTCATTTGACTTATCTTTGGTGTATGATTTTAATACCGTAGATTTTCAACAGACAGCTATACTTTGACATATACCATGATCGTTGGTTCCAGCAATGCCAAGCCGGGCCAATTTTATAGTCTTTTGACGGGTTTTAAGTTTTTTTGATAAGGCCTTTATATAGATCAACAATCTGGATATACAGTTGGCGATATTTCGGAAATCAAAAGATCTCGCTATTTCGTTGCAAATCCACATCTCATCAATAAATAAATTCTTTTAGTCCGAGTATCAGGATAGACTTTAATACTAAATAAATAACAACCACACTGTTCGGTCTGGAGATATATATTTTCTTGTAGGTTTAATATTGCCACGCTGCACAAGCGGCAAGCCGCCGCAAGCGTGCTTTCTCAGGGCAAATCTATAATGAAATCTGATCCAACTTGCTTGAATTGTAACTCGACACCAGATTATAGAGTAGAACGTTACGATATAAATATTAATTTAAGAGTTCTCTTTACGATTTCTTGTTGCAAACTTACAGTAAATTTCATCACCCAAAGTTGCAATTTTAAAATGCTACAGACACGCTCCTTTCCCACCCCTCTCACAGTTACAATTAAATTTACCTCCCAGAATCTGGGAGGCACGTGACCAGCCACAGCCAGGGTCTCTCCCAGATGACAGAAGGAGAGACCCTGGGAACAAGGTTGTGCTATTAATGCCATAATAATATACATAAAGATATTACTCGACTGTGATTGGTTGATTTCAGTGCAGTTAATCCCAAACAGCAGTGCAATTTTCTGTAATCACAGGGCAATTTTCTGTAATCACAGTGCAATTTTTTGTAATCACAGTGCAAATATCTGTAACAAACTGTTCTGATTGCTGGAAAAACATTGTGATGATTAAATCAACCAATCAGTTTAAAGCAGTAACGGTCACAGATTTCTTCAAAACAAAACAAACATGGCGCCGCACTACATAAAGTAAAAGTTGCCTTTGCGTGGAAAATATGGCTTTTATCTTTATTTTTAAATGGAAAAGCATTTACCTTAAACAAGACTAACAAAAATTACATAGTTGAGTGGAATTTTCAAGCTGTTAGCATTGTATAATGTGATAAAACAAAGCCAGGAAAACTTTGCCGATGGAATGTTTGCTATAAACGCGTAAGTTAAAATTACAATTGTCTCGAACATTTTTATGTAAATTATTAATAAGTAATAGCATGGTTTCTCATGAAATTTGGATAAACATGCACTCGTGAGTTTTTCACTTGTAATCACAAGTTTGATTTCAGTCCAAAATTGCACGACACGAAGTTCAATTTCCACTTTATTATAATATTTTTGAAATCTTAAACCGGAAACTTTTTGTTTGCAAAAGACACACCTCCGGTACCTCCCTGAGTGCTGTAGCATAGCAACAATAAGCGAACAAGATGAGGTTTTGTAATTTATATATTTTATACGTTCAAAAATCTAAATTGTTAAAGAAATGAAGACATTTATAAAGAACAAGAGACAACACAAGTAAGTTTAAAGATATTGTAGGTTTTACGATTGATTTGAACGAGTTTTGGTGCAGTTTTGTGTATTTAAAACTGGAAATACAATAGGCGAATTTACCTTTGTTTTCCCTGATATTTTAAATTTGCTTTTGTTGGCGTTTTGACCATATTTGATAGAAGATTATGTTCTTAACTTTCCTGTTACTATTTGTGAAATTTGCAATTCTTTGATAGTTAGTTTACTTTAGCTATCCATGTCAGTTTGTTTTCATGTGTAAAAAATTGCTTAATGGACGACTTGCGCTTTAGAAAAATTTTTAATCTGGGAATAACAAAGGATATTTTCGGAAAGAAGTTATCAAAATTAGAAAATAGGTACGCAATGCGTACATGTGGCTAGCCTGGTAAACTTTAACTCCCCAAACCCTCCTCCAAACCCAGAGAGCCTGCCATGCTGGTTAACTTTAATAGTAATAATAAGACACACAGGCTAACTTTAATAGTAGTAAGAAGACACCCAGGCTAACTTTAATAAAAATAAGAAGACGCCCAGGCTAACTTTAATAGTAATAAGAGGAGATATTATTGTACAATGCATATGCAATCTCTGTGGTGATTGGCTAAGAATCTACAAACAATTCTCAATGTCTTGCTGCCTCCAACATTGAAAAATTGTCTGTAGGTGACATAACTTCTAGTATGCATGGCTGACATACAAAACTCTGCAACTGCATGTGCTTTTGCATTTGCAATTGTATAATATATCAATTACTGTATCCAGCCCTCAGCTTCAGCAGATAACATTGTCATAGCTGTCGAGGTTGACTGCATATCGTGCATGAGACTTGGCACTCCTAGGAGGGGGGAGCTAGGTGTTCCAGCATCATACACCCTTCCCACAATGTCTGTTGTTGGACAGGTAAAAAAAGTAGGGCGCACTGGGGCACATTGCGGCTCAATGGGTTAACCAATATTGTAGGGGCTGTTCATGTTACAGGTCAAATGAAGCATTATTGACTGCCAAATTAGTATGGAAAATATAAAGAGAAAGTAAAGTCATTTCACACATTTCTGAGTTTGGCATTTGTCTTAATTTTAGCAAATTCTGTAATTATACTTAGTGGATGCTTATACCCCGGGGATGCTTATACCCAGATGGTGCTTATACCCAGAGGGTGCTTAATGGCAGGGGTTGCCTATTCTTGGGTTTCACTACAGCATTATGCAGTGAATCTGACGGGGGGTCAACCTCAAATGTATTCGATGCTTATGCTGTAGTGAAGTGTGAAAATGATACGAAATTCCATGTATTTGCCACTGAACACAAGGCTAATACATAAAACGAACAATCGACTCACTCTGATAACTGTGTTTTGTTTTAGAGTTGACCACCCGTCACTTTTGTGATGTCATATGAAACCCAAGAATACGGGTATACTTGCTGGATGCTTATTATACCCAGAGGGTGTTTTAGCAAATAGTTTCAAAAGGAATGTGAAAACACATTAGATGATGAACACAACAATTTTTATACATCCAAGGAGATATATACTAAAAAATGCAAATACTAACAAAATTACTAAAATAATTTCATCTACATGGACTACTGTACTATAGCAATAGCCAAGGTTGTTCTTGTGACTACATTAGCAAAAGTCAAGGTAGTTTAATCCCAGCACAAATGGCAATTGGTTTACAATATACCTGCAATACTCCTGGCCTTCTTGGCTTGTTTCTGTTTGTTACATGGCCTTTCACGTTATGCCTGTCACATTTTAGGAAGCGTTACAATTTTTAGACTTTTGCAATTTTGTATTCTTTTGTATTTTAAACTTAACCCTAATCCTAACCCAAAACCTAACCCTAACCCTTACTCTAATCCTAACCCTAATCTTAATCATAACCCTAATCCTAACCATTTCCCTAATTCAAACCCTAATCCTAACCTTAAAAGTCTAAAAATAGTAACTGTTCCTAATGCACCAATATTGCAATGTTATGCCCGACCCTAGCGAGGGCGGGGATACACAGGGAATTGACCTGATTTCTTTGCTCCTGGGTTGGGGATTTTATTTTATTTGACATCAAGGAAGCTCCCAGGGTCGGGCGTTTTGACATTCTTGTTACCAGTCTCCTATAATTTTCGCAAGCGAGGCCGACATCATGGCGTGTTTCAGGAAAATCACAAGGTGAATTCATGAATAATATCACTTTATTTACGGCTTTTCAAAATAAACTCTTGTTAATTTTTGTCTTTTTAGTATATAATTTAATAGACTAGGAAATAAATAATGAGAAAATAATGATTACAATTGAATCCAAGAGCGACGGGAACGGCTCTTAGCCAATTTATAGCGTTCAGAATTTACAAATGCTATATTATATAAATATAAATAAATTGTTTGAGCAGATTATAACATCTTTGTAGTTTTCTTCTAACTCAGGGGTGAGGGGCATTTGACTACGATTGACGACAGGGTGCTGCTTCACAGCGGGGCCTATTGACACAAAAATATTGAAAATGTCAAATGCCCCTGGGTTTGCCCGCCCTCCCTAGGGTCGGGCATAACATTGATTGGTGCATAAATCATGACTCATACGTTTCACGTAATGTAAATAGCCCTGTATGATCAGTACGAGCACAATCGGCCCTTTCATGTGTAATATTGTATTTTTCAATTTTTGATTTGGCTCCTTTGTATACTGTATTTCTGATTTGATACGTCGACTTCGCGTATAAGAATGCCATATCTATATTCGGACCAAAAATATATCTTTGACGAGAGCAAGCCAAAATGGCATTGTAACAATAAAACTATAAAAGCAAACTTATACAAAAATAGAAATGAGCAAATATACCTTTTACAAACACAAGGAATAACGCGATATGCTGCTCAAAGGAACACAAGGAATAACGCGATATGCTGCTCATGCTAGTATAGAAGTAGAAGTCCTCAAACTGGATCAAAATCATCAAAATTATGCCTTGAAATGCAAATGTGAAATGTCGGCAGAAAAATACGGGCGCTTCCGATTGCTCCCGATACTTTACGAAAATCCGGACAGGACACCATGATCATCATCGCTCATCGCGTATACTATGTGATAATGGCTAGCCCGCAAACGGGCTAGCCACAAAAAACTGCAAAGTTTGGTTGCAAAAATATAGCCCTGCGAAGTTGGCAAATTTGTATACAATTCTATTACGTGCAGAAATTGGTAACTAATTTCACCCGATTAGCGTGTTTGACGCCAGCTGACAGCCGGAAATTTTGTCTGCGATTGCTCGGCTGACAGCCGGGCTGTACTATAGTATACTGTTCGTTCAAAAAATGCGCGCATTTCGGAGACTGGTTCTAGAATGTTTTCATAAGCAGACAACCACCAAAATTACAGTAAATTTTCCGAAAATCATCAAAATGAATCTAAATTCTTCTTCACAATGCATACAGCTAGCTATGCGACAAGTAAATAAACGAGAAAAAACTATTACGGCAAAGAGAAAAATTGAGAATTATTCGCGCTCACTTTGAGATTCGAACTCACGACCTTCGCGTCAACCTCATACGTGTTTACACTTTGTGTTACTCCCGCACGCCACCACACCTTACGTACAATATATGTTAATTTATTGTATGATTGCGTAAATATGTACACTATTGTATATGGCCAAGGGTACACTGGGTACAGTAGCAGCCGAGCCGTATCTACTCTTTAATACAATACTTACAATACATGACAGCATAGATCGCGGCAACCAACCGGGGTTATTTAACTGTAATGCAATCCTACAATGCAATATAGCTATCAGCCGGGCCTGTCTGTAGTATACTATAGTATATACTACAATACATCATGGCTGATAGCCGTATTGCTGGCTGGTAGCCATGATGTATTGTAGTATACTATAGTATACTACAGACAGGATCGGCTGATAGCCGTATTGCTGGCTGGTAGCCGTGATGTATTGTAGTATACTACAGACAGGATTGGCTGTCAGTCGATGTCAAATGCGCTAATCGGGTGCTAATTTAGTTACCAATTCACACACGTAATACAAAAGTATACAAATTTGCCAACTTTGAAGGGCTATATTTTCCGTATTTTGCAACCAAACTTTGTAATATTACTAATTCCAAGACGCCCTTTCTAGCTGTGGTGATAAATTTCGTTGTTCTTACTTAGATTAAAATTTAGTCTAAAGCGCAAGTCGTCCATTATTAAAATCATTCATGACATATGTAAATTTTTTGTTTTTGTGCTCATTTGCCATAACACATTTTTGATTGGGCTGTTTGAATCCTATCATTAAATATGATTGGTTGGCTGAAGTCAGCACTCTAATGTGATTGGTTCACAGGAGTGTGATTTCAGCACGAATTGCACTGCAATTTATTTCAAAATGAATATAATAAATGCTCAAATCGCACTCCTGTAAACCAATGAAATTGCAGTATTTGCCACTGATTACAGAAGATAAATAATTGAAATACTTGCACTCTTCTTAACCAATCAGATTGCAGTAATTTTGTCATGTATATAATAAGCTTAGAAATTGTGTAATGGGAATTGAACACAAAATAAAATATGAAAAGTTTTGCCTGAACACCAAAGAATCTGGTCTATAAATAGAAAATTGCTGTAAGTTGATGAAGTCAAGCTGGCAACCCAAGTTTTAAGTCGATCTGTGGCAATAGCGTTGGAGGAGAGTGGGAATGAGGAAGTCTTGGGCATCAACGTGCAAAAGGTGGACGTTCCGACAATCCAACAGCTGAACAGTTTGGTTATAATGACCTTACCATAGCAGCACAGAGGGATATTGCACCAGTGATAAGAGGCAATGTTGGAGGTCGTTATAGAAAACAGAAGTGGCATCAAGTCAGTGAGGAATCGGTAAAGAAACGGAAAAAAGCAAAGCCAAAGGAATCATCAGACAGTTGAACCTGAATAGGTAAATGAATTTAGATGGCACATTGTTGCAGATTAAAGTACTCTATATCTCCTCAATGAGTAAAAACATATAGCAACGGCCAAGGCAACATTTATAACGACTTAAATTGACTTTACTTTTTAGTGTCTATTGCCTAGCCATGTCAACTGGTCATGCTATGCCAATAAAGCAGTATCTAAACAGGTTAAAGGAAAAGCATTTTTAAATGTGTGAATAATTGCATAACATGACCTGTAACTATGACAGTATGACTAGCTTCACCACTAGTTATGTTATCATGTTTCATGCACAATTAGTTTTAGAAACTTCTTTTGCCGGGGCTAAAGAACAACAAGAAAATACATAATTGTTCCCAGAACATTGGGTATAAATTCATGCTGTCATGCAGTAATAGGAAAACATGGTACAATTAGTTTTTGTGGCCAAAGTAAAATACATGTAATCAGTAACATTTGTTAGTGCATGGCGAAGGCTATTTAAACACAAAAACAATAATATAAATTTAGAAATAATTTGCTTATATGAACTACAGTATAATTGTAAAATTTAATTGAATAGGCAATTCCAGCTTTTAGTTTATGCGTGCAGGGGATGATGGGGAAGTAAGGTATCATATAGCTGATTATGCTGAAAAATTTCAATAAATATTTAATTAATAGTTTATTTAATTAATATTTAATGGGTGAACTGAAATTAATATGGTTAGTTGTAACATGAACAGTGTATTTGGTGATACAATAAGTACCAATGTTATAAAATATCCATCTTATTGTAACAATGTTGATATTTAACCTATTTACATTTTAAAAAGGCATTTACATCAATCTTCACATCATTTGCAGAGCTAGCCATGGTAATCTGTCATGCAATGCAAATTTGTAACTATTCTATCCATTAGATATATTGTCTTAAGTACCAGTTAAGCATAGCATGGCAAGTTGCCATTGTTAGCTCTGCTGCTTACATTGAAGCCTTTTTGTCACAGAGTTTCAGTTACTTTCGAAGGGGCTTCTTTTTGGTCTGTTTCTCTTTAATTTTATATTTAGTTAAAAAATCCCTTGCGTATGAAAACGACCTCACCTTTAAATAAAGTTTTATCATGTTTTCCAAACACAATTTTTGTGTTGAACTGGAGGGGTCTACACCTAACATAACAATGTTATCCCATAGTGATCTGACCACTGGAGAATTTAAAGTAGCATTACATATTGTATCAGTGGGTATGTGTCGTAATGAATGCTTTGATGCGTCCACTTGCCTTCGGAAAAAACACTCGGCTTCTTCTAAAATTCCCACCAAGTCTTTGGAGGGATAAAACCGGCCCACCTCTTGTACGTGCTGAAATAAAACTAGAGGACTGGTCTGAGGACTTCATGCCTTGAAGTAACAAATGTAACTCTTCATTAGTTTTTCCAGCCTTTCTTTTATTTGTTTGGAAAAGTTTTGAAACCACATATCCTGCAACATAAGTCAAGGGGCCATGCTCAATTGGATCCAGTTTAGTGGGTAAAGATTCATCTCCTGTTTCCCCAGTGCCTACTGTTTCATTAGATTCTGTGTGGTAAAATCCAACAAAGTTATCTGGTAGGTGACTCATGATAAGATTATCAGTCTTGTAGTCCTCACAATCCAACAACTTACATGACTGGTGGATTAAGGCAAAGAATGATTGCACCAGGTTATCTTGGTTTTTCTTTATATAAAATGTTTTGTATAAAGGATAGACAGCATTGTATAAATCTTGAGTGCAAGACACAGTTTTTATACTGTCATTTAGATCTGCGCCATATAATTTCTCCTTTATTATCTTCGCCTTAATTTGTTCTATCATTGAAGCAAGTGTATTCATACAAAAAGACGAATCTGGTTGAACCACAGTACTGTGTTTGGAATTTGTATGCCTTGTCAAGCCACCTTTAGATTTGCATACTTTGTCACACAATGTACAGGGAAATGACTTTTCCCCATGTATTTCGATCAACACATCGCTAAATTCGCACTCAATTTCTTCACTGTCCATCTCAGCTACAACAACAGAAAGATTTAACTGGTATATATCAGGTGTAGCATCTGTGAAATCAAACGCAGGGTCAACAATCTGAATTTCAGTCGAAGATGTTCCTTCCTCTACAACAAGCGCTGACTGATGCCCAAATACCGAAACGGTATCCATACAATCTTTACTCGCACTAAAATATATATTTTCAACCGATTAAAAGACAATAAAACCAAAAATTCGAGCCAAGCACAAGCTATCGCCTTTGTTATTTCTGTCAACATTCCGGACCACATGCAGGCATCAGATCACTCTACAGTTTTTTAATTGGATTTCGACATATTTTAAGCGACATTTTGATGTTTGCCGGGTGGCCTAACCAGTCTCTTCGATTAACTGTGATGTAATAGAGTGTCGATAAAATGTCTGCAGAGATTTTACATACAGCACACACAAGACAAGATAGATCGTATATTGTATATATTTGTTTTGCCCACAAAAGATATTTACAAAGTAATTTAGAATATTTACAATAGTATATATATATATGGGGGCTAGGAACCTTTGGAAATCCTGTTGGACTTTTAGATAAGGCCCCTAGTTTTGAAAAATCAATTACAAGTAACAACTACTAAAAATGTTGACAAATAAGGCAGTATATATTACGATTATTTACATAAAAATAGTTAAAAGAATAAGGAGATAAAAGTTGACTTTATTTACAGTATTTGCATTAAGCAGATAGTAAGTAATAGGATTTTATTTTTTTCTTAAAAGAGAAATACGATTTGATATTTTTGATATTTTCATTGAGACCATTCCATATAGAGACCCCTTTGTTAAACACAGTATATTTGCGATAATTAGTTCTTTGAAAGTTCATGTGTAACTTGGTGGAATTACGTGTATTATAATTGTGTAATTTACTATTTTGTTTAAAATAATCACAATAAAAATCCGGCAAATTATTTTGATAATAAAAGAATCGATACATAAATATACTACATAGATATAATCATTAATTTTGTAGACATTCAAGATTTTCAAGTCCAAAAATAATGGTTCAGAATGATCCGAATAAGATTTAAAACAAATTAATCGAACAATTCTCTTTTGTACATTCATTATTTTTTGCAATCTTGTGGGATATGTATTTCCCCAAACAAGATTCCCGTACGTGAGGTATGGATAAGCTAATGCGTAGTAAATCAATTTTAAAGTGTTTCTATTTGTATAATGTCTTAGTTTAGCGATCAGACCTGTACATTTAATAATAGTTTTCAGAACTGAGCTGATATGGTTCTTCCATGTCAACTCTTCGTCAATTATAACTCCTAGAAACTTTACAAACGTCACTTGCTTAACCAAATCATTATTTATTTTGATTGTATTATCTGTATTCAGTAAAGACTTATTTTTTTATTTAAAAATTACGAACTTTGTCTTAGAAGCGTTGATTGATAATTTATTGGCATTGAGCCATTTCACAACCTTATTCATTTCATTTTGTATTGTATTATACAAATTTTTCAAGCACGAATTTGAATAGAAAGCATTCGTATCATCTGCATATAATACGAACGAAAGTATATCACTACAGCTTTCGATGTCGTTGATGTATAAAAGAAATAGCAATGGACCAAGAATTGAACCCTGTGGGACTCCTGTAGTAACATTAATTTCAGTTGACCTATGTTGTTTATATTTTACAATTTGAGTTCTTTCCTGCAAATAATCTTTAAACCACTGAAAACAAATTCCTCTTATTCCATAATGTTGAAGCTTTTTAAAAAGAATTTCAAAGTTGACTGCATCGAAAGCTTTAGAAAGGTCAAGGAAAATACCCATTGTGTATTTACCTTCATCCATTGCTTTAGAAATTTTATCGGTTAGTTCTAGAATGGCATGTTCGGTAGATCTATTTCTGCGAAATCCATATTGATGTTTTGATAGTATTTTTTTCGTTTCAACATAATTATATAGTCTTTTGTACATGAGCTTCTCAAGTAGTTTTGAGAAACAAGTCAAAACCGATATTGGTCTATAGTTCTCAAAAAGGTTACTCTCATTCGCTTTAAAAATAGGAGTAACTAAAGCAATTTTAAGGGATTTTGGAATCTTTCCAGTCAGAAAAGTTAAATTATAGATATAAGTTAAAGGTTTAAGTATTTCTGCGTTTATTGCTTTTATCATTTTTGAACTTATTTCATCATGTCCTGCACTTTTATTTTCTCTTAAATTAATTATTTCGTTCAGTAACTCATTTTCAGTTACAGGCTCAAAAAACATACTTTCAACATAATTGCCTTTAAGGTAGTCTTCATACGATATGTCATTGATCTTGGGAATTTTTTTAGCAAGTTGGGGACCCACGTTTACAAAATATTCATTAAATTTGTTTGCAATATCAACCGGATTTCTAACATTGGTGTTTGAATCTTTTTGCAAGAACGTGTCAGGTAGTTTTGATTTAGTTTTACTTCTATTAAGGACTTCATTGATAGTTTGCCATGTCATTTTTGTGTCGTTTTTGTATTTTAGAAATTGATTTTCGTAATAGACTTTCTTGGCAGCTTTAATTACATGATTCAGTCTGTTTTTGTATGTTTTGTACTTTATTTCATTTCTATACGACGGGTTTTTCAAATAGTTTTTATAAAGTCGATTTTTTTTGGATATAGACTTCAAAATACCACCTGTCATCCAGGGACTTTTTGCATGATCAATAGCTTTTGGTTTCATTTTTATTAAGGGAAAATTCTTATCAATTGCTACTTTTAAGCTATTATGAAAATTATTGTAAGATTCACACGCGTCATTTGTTTGGTAAGTACTTTCCCATGATATTTTTTTTACAGAGACTAAAAACGAAGCAAGACTATCTTTGTTGACAATTCTTTTGTAGTACATATTATTTCCCTTTTCTGTAAAATCATCAGTATTTAAGGACAAAGAAGCTAAATGAAATATAGGCAGATGATCTGAAATATCTGAGTAAATTAATCCATTAATGCTAGATTCTATTTGGACTAAATCGTTAGTAAAGATGTTATCAATTAAAGTTGCTAGCTGTATGCTGGGTAATCCTAGTTGGTTTATTTATAAGGGGAAAGAAAGATGATGTGAAAAGTTGCTCACAGAATCTGTTTGAATATTCGCAAACATCAGATTTCAGAAGATCGATGTTAAAATCTCCAGTCAAATAAGTTATTTTCTTTGTTTTATCAACGTTAGCTAATATTTCATTAAGTTTGTTTTCAAAAATTTCAAAATTACCACTTGGTGGTCTATAGATATTACCGAGAATAATATTTTTACTGGTGGTTGAGATTATTTCAATGATTACGTGCATATATACCCTTACAAAAATTTCACATTAAAATTCATATATGAAATTGGAATTTCATATATGAAATGAAGATTTTCATATATGAAATTAGAATTTCACATGTGAAAAGGTAATTTCATATATGAAATTTCAGTTTCATATGTGAAATTCTCTTTTTCACATATTAAATTTCCATATATGAAAAGCATGTCATATATGAAATTTTAATTTCATATATGAAAAACTAAATTTCATATATGAAATCCATTTCACATGTGAAATTTGGTAATTTCATATAAGAATTTTCATATATGAAAATCAGGTCATGCATGAAGTTATACAATTCAGATATGAAAAACTAAATTTCATATATGAAATCCATTTCACACTGAAATTTGGTAATTTCATATAAGAATTTTCATATATGAAAATCAAGTCATAATATATGTGAAGTTATACAATTCACATATGAAAAAATAAATTTTATATATGAAATCCATTTCACATGTGAAATTTGGTAATTTCATATAAGAATCTTCAGATTATGAAAATCAAGTCATATATGAAGTTATATAATTCACATATCAAAAAAGAAATTTCATATATGAAATCCATTTCCCATGTGAAAGTTGGTAATTTCATATAAGAATTTTCACATATGGAAAACTAAATTTTTTCACATATGGAAAACTAAATTTCACATGTGAAATTTGGTAGCTAATTTCATATAAGAATTTTCATATATGAAAATCAAGTCATATATGAAGTTATATACAATTTACATATGAAAAAAGAAATTTCATATATGAAATCCATTTCATATGTTAATATTGGTAATTTCATATGTGAATTTTCACATGTGAATTTTCATATATGAAAATCAAGTCATATATTTCACATATTATGAAATTATACATTTCACATATGACAATTAAAGTAATTTCATACACGTAATTCATGTCATAGTGAATTGTAATTGGAACTGGCATACACTGTATTAAAATTCAAAAGAGTAGATTTGACCTTTTTTTAACCCGAAATTTGCAACTCGATTTGAAACGACATTTACAACCGTTATGTTACAGGAGAATAAAAGACAACATGTGAAATGTTGGCAGTTCTTTGAAGATATTCCTTCTTCAAGTTTCTTGAACTTAATTCTTCAAGCATTTTATATTTAAAAGACTATACTGACTAATTATTATAGTATAAACTGACAGGGC